CCCATTGGGAATTGCAGGATTTAGAGGCGCACTGGAGCTCTATTTGTCTCAGAGCAGCCTGGAGTCACACAGAGTTCAGACAGCAGAACACTCAGCAATTAAAAGAGGGGTTAACATGTTTTATCTTCCTAATGGGATAACATGCAATATTTACGTTTGCTCCATGATTCATTGAGCAACTACCATTTCTTTTTCTGGGTACCTCCAGGCATTCTGGAGGGGCTACTCTCTGAGGAGGAGGCTCACATCTGCTCTTGCTGCTGTGACATGCCCCAGTGTTGGAGAGGATGACACCTTTGAGGAGGTGGACATAGATGAATTTGTCTTTGATGAGGTATCTGCACAAGCCTGTATGTTCTTCACTTTCACGATTCGGCAGTTGTTCCCCATCTCGCACCCCATCAGACCAAAAAACCTGCACAGAGGCTAACACATAAATGTAACACATAAATATAGTACTGTATACTTCACTCCAAAGACACTTTATTTGTGGTTTGTTTGTCATTGCCGTCCAGAAATTCAAGTATTTTTCATTGTCATAAAGGCAGCTTTGGAGGAACACTGCACACTGATGCTTTCTCAGGACTCGTCTCCCAGACACCAACTTGTGTCAGAGCAGCAATTATCTATGAAGGTAAAGTTTGATATTCTTAAAACCTGGTAGTCCTGACATGATATTCTCTAATACTTTGAAACCTGCTATGCAAATTGTGAATTTTGGGATTTACCATCTTGTGTTATGTCAGTGTTGGAGTTATTTTCTTGCTTGTCTCCCTCCCCTCCAGGAATTGTCTCACCCTCCCTTATTGATCTCTAAATTTATTCACTTGGAAAAACAGGATTATTTCCTGGAGGGCTGAAAGTTGCACAGCACCAGCAGATGTCATTTTTCATGCTGGCTGGACTGTCGTCCTGTTTTTTTTCTTCATTTACCTCTTGTTGGATCTTTTCTTTGGAGCGTGCTCAGCGCTGTACATCATGGTAGCCAGTTTAAGCAAGCTGATGTGGTGCAGCTGCTAGCGTGGTCAGCCTCAATATGTTGACACTGAGGCACAGATCAAAGGCAGGGGATGAACAATTTAGCACTTTGACCAAGAGAAAATAGAATCTGGAGAGCAATTAAGCTGTTACTTTGACTTAAATATGAGAATTCCATGATTGTGAACCGTTCACTCGGTCATCCACATACCTACAACAAAAATAGGCCCCTGAGTTAAGTGTCACTGGATATAATAGTGTAGAATGTAATCACTTCCCCCAAGAGTTACAGATAACTGTAGTGTTATTCCATGAAAAATTAATTAGTATGCCACAACAGACTGCTCAGATTTTTGTAACTATAATGAAAGCATGCACAATTTTACCTTTGTTACAGGTCCTTTAAGTACACAGATGTCAGTTGAAGTTTTCCACTAGTAATCTATGTCTATTTTTTTCCTAGGATTTTTGAGTGTGCTCAAGTTCATAAATACAGGAGAAAGCTACATTAGTTTTTCCGGCCTGAAAAACACATTCAATTTTTTAAAAAACTGCAACCAAATCAATTTTGCATAAACTCCAAGTGTCACAGTCTAAAGCTAAAATCCTGCCTTTGTTCAGCGTGGTTTGATCTCCAACCAGCTTTGAGTTTGATGAACAGTATAATAATGAAACATTTAGAAACTGAAAAAGCAAAGCCGCTCCGATTTAATGTCTGTGATGCAGAATAACAGAAATAAAAACACACACTGGTATCCTAGATGTTTTATGTGTATTCTGGTAATTCATTAGGAAAACTACAACAAGTGTGTTTTGGTAACATTTCAAGGTAACAAAAAAAAAAGAAAAGTAACTTAGGCCTGTCATTAATTGATATATGTATTTCAGCCTCCTGGGCCCTGTCTTGATCCCTCCCAGGACATACTCCCCCTACCAAAGCACGCCTGGATGGCTGGGGAACATGTGGACGGTTCTAACAGGTACAACAACCCACAGCCACAGCATTTGAAAAAGCTGTTTATTTTAAGCTTTATATAGATTTTCATAATTATTGTACAAAGTTATATAGGGAAAAAGAAGATAAATAATTTTCATAATAGGACATATAGCAAACAGTGTTGATTTGTGACATTAATATTTTTCGTTAATGCAACTCCAAGTAGAAAAATACAATCTTTGCTAAGCACATTAAAGAGTCGGATGTATCTTAGAAGTTAGAGATTTTAACTGGGTTTACTTTTTCACATATGAAGCTCATGATATGGCGTTTGCTCTTGGAACAAAATACAGACAACCTGAAGTATGTGTTTAAGTGTTTCATGGATAGCAAAATATAAATCTTATATTAAAAATGCAAGGAACAATAATCAAACTGGTCCTAATAATGCAAGATTTTAATGTCATAAGATTTTAGTATAGCATAGAAAAAATGATGATACAGATGTTGAAATTTCACTTTCTGGATATAAAGGAGGATGACACACACACTAAATCACATTTATATTTTTGTTATGGTTGTGATCCACAAAATGTATCCACATATTCAGCTAGCAAAACACTCAACTAAGCAGGTTCACTGAATGACTGTTCAGTTCTCTTCTCTGATGTTCAGCTGATGTCACTGGTAATCTATAAAGTGGTAATATTTGTTTTCGTTTACTTTTTTACTTGGTGGCATACAAATCATAAAATTCAATGGCTTCCATTGAGGAAAAAAATGAAATGGAAAGGAAAACAAGGCAGCACTGCTCCACTTCCAGCATGCTTGTTATGTTGGTTACAGTTATGTGGATGACAGGTGCATCTTTTGCTACAGACCAGACAACAGTTTTCAGTTTAAGAGTTTGATCAAGCTTCAGTTCAAGAGCTGGAGCAGGAGTGTGCTTTTCCTTTTCTAAATGAACTTTTAGAGGACTGAGACTTTTAAACAATCAAATGTTTAATGCATGTTTTTACTGTAAGATCCCAAAGCATCTGAGAGAACAGTTGCTACTAAAGACCACAGCTGTGGAGCATGCCACCATCAGGGTGCACTGAAAATGTGTTTTTGGCCCCAATAAAGATTGTGTTTGGACACACAAACACAATCTTCAATCACCACTAGCCCTACTCGCCCAGTTTAGCTCCCTTTTTCCTTAAATGAAATGGGTTTCCATTTTGCACATCTTTATTGCACGTCCACTGAGCATAATAATATTAGCAGCCATGCAGGAAAAAATACAGGACAACCTTGACTTAAAGATCAGCCATAATTCAATCCCGAAAGATTTAAATATGTGTAGTCCTGTTGTGAATTTCTGCATCTCAAGTTATGTTTTTAAGGACAATAATTTCTTTATGATTCCAGAAACACATCTCCTACTTCCACCTCAGCACTTAGTGGTCTCTCTGAAAGATCAGAAAAGATTCTAGAAGAATGGTAAATCATCATCTCCTCCTCACTGCTTGCTGCAACTGTGTGTTGTTAGTAAATGGCAGAACGGCACTTTCTATTTGTCTTTTCTTTCCTTGCCATCTGCAGGGGCTTTACTGACAGCCACACAGCACTTCTGCTGCTGAGGAGAGCTCGGAAGATGAAGTCAAAGAGACAACTGCAAAAGAAGCAAAGGGGTTAGTGTGTTTAAAGTGGGATAGGTGGAAATTTGAGCTTTGGACCCTTTGTGTTTGCATGTATGCTTTTTATGCAGTAGTTCAGGTTTAAAAAAACTATTTTTGTATGTTTTTAGAAAATTCCCCATAGAATTTGAATGCTGTGATTGGAGATTAAACACTATTGTGGTTTCCTTCTTCAGTCACCTCATATGCAATGCTTCCTTCATTCATTAATCCTTCTACACCTCAGCTGATGTTTCTGTCTTTATATAGTTCACAAAATGGAGATAACTCCTGTTAAGACATAAATCTGTTGTCTAAAAAGGAGAAAGATCTCTCTTCATTCTCATTCTTCAGCCATGCTTTAGTAGCAGTGAACCTTTCCGCCGCATGTATGTTAATGAGCCATAACAGACAGCAGAAGCCAGGGCTGTCACCTCTCATTGGACTTATTTACGAGCCTGCAAAGGAAATAACTATTGCCAAGAAAGCTCATGACAAGTCGTCTTGTGGCGACTTTCATTCCATTTCATTGTAGTGGTTTAGTGTAACTGCAGTGAAAGGTGACCTCACCTCTGCTCTGTTCCAAGAAACAGTAGTTCTGCCATGGGTATCATGTCATGGTCATGTAATGGGAGGTTGGTCTTTGATCAGACTTTCAAATGCATGATTGCATTAGTGGTGCTCTTGTCATCTTGCTCCACCGACACACAGGTCTTTGTCGGCTTTAACTCCTAATGGCATCTGCCTCAGCTGAACCACAGCGCTGTATTACATATGCACTAATATTTTCTGAATGTTTGATCCTGGTTTTCTGCTTCTGGTTTAAAGCCTGGCGTGTCCTGCTTTGACCTTCTCTTTCTTGCTGTGTTAGATCCCTCCGTCCGACTTGCCTTGTTCAGAAATTGTAATTACCAGCTTGGTCCAGCGGAGGCACAAAACACAACAGCACGATACAACAGAAATTATGCAAAAGGTAAGAAAAGAGATCTATGCATATTTTCTAACCCAGTAGTATTTCAAATGCTTGGATTATTTTTAAGAATTTTAAATTTAAATTTAAACTATTTAAGTCTGGTCTGGTCTTAGACTGGACTATTGCAAAGCAGAAGGGGTAGATGGCCTCACATTTGTCTCTAAAATACTGTGATATATAGAGACACTCATGATCAACTCAGTGATTGCAATTTTCAAAGGTCCTGCAACTACAAAACAAGCCTAAATCACCACCCGTCCACCGCCGTGCTTAACAGTTGGTGAGAGGTTTTTGTGCTGATATGTTGTGTTTGGTTTTTGCCTGTTGGGCCACTGCGCTTTATGACCCAACATCTCCGCTTTGGTCTCATCAGTCTAAAGGTGAAAGATGTCTTCTGGATGGCTCAAATGTCCACATTCTTTTAAAAGAGAAGAAGCTTTCTTTTGGCAACCCCTCAAAGCCATATTTTTCCAACCTTTTTCTAATTGTACTGTCATGACGGTCAGGGTGTACTTTTCACAGGACTGTATGGCACAACTTTTTTCCAAAGAGTTTTCAGTGTTATGGAAATACAGTGTCAAAAAAGGGCTATGGATTGATTATATGTGGGATAGTGTGATTGGTTGAGAAAAGTCAAAAGCCTCCCTCCACCTTCATCCATATTCTGCTGTGGCCTGGTGCCCTGCCCTGAGGTGCAGAGAGGATTTGGCATTGTGACACACACAGACAGACTTAAAAGGAAGGGAAGCGCTGGAGGGAGAGCATAAGGGAGAGTTGGGGGGGAGTCTGTTTTTATCATGAGGGACTGTCTCCGTCTTTCTTTTGGACCCCACCACCACGTACCAGGGTCAAGGCCTCACATCCATGGAGTAATAGTCTCACGGTCATCCAGCAGTCAGAGGGATGCTGGAACAGCAGCATTTGCCAGCAGAAAGTGAAGCGATCAGTTATAAGACTAACATACTAAAGAATTAGCTGTGAAGACGAAGAGCAGATTTGCCTGTCATTTTATGTTGCAGTCTTAAAAAATAGAACAACCATGATCTTTTTAGCGTAAAAATGTGGCGATTTATATGTGAATGAGTTCTCTTATTTTCATTAATTCTGAAGTTCTTCTGTCAGCAGACACTGTTTTGCCAGCATTACAAGGCATTTTCATCAGGACAGTGACGGACTAACAAATGTTCCCTTTTGGAGTAGGTGGCACAACATTCTTTTCCAATAATTATTTTCCATTGACAATTTATAAAATGCATGAAAAATGGAGCTTGACTATGACAGCATCATCCATCCATTTTCTTCCTCTTATCCAGCTCAGGGTCATGGGGGGAGCTGGAGCTATCTCAGCTGCGTGACAGCATCATTATGTTATCTATTGTTTATTTGAATTGCAGGTGTATTATGTCAACTTTCCAACATTGTGATTGCTGACACTGGAATTATGTGGGAGCATAATACTGCTGTGGATAAACTTTCAGCTAACTGGCAATCGAGGAATAGCTGTATCCCGATAACATATTAAATTACAGCAATATTTCCAGCTCTGTTTTTTCCCATAGCTTCATCGCTGCTCCCCACCCTCTTATTGACAGTTTATCAAACGGGACTGATGCTTTTGAGCTAATACAACTGATAAAGTAATGGAAGGATCTCTGGTTAGGGCATTCTCTTTCTTTCCGGTTTATATTCTGTATCCTCAGTCAGTTTTCTGATCTGACAGAAATGTGTAACTCTATCCAGCTTCAGTCTAGGGGAAATGATTCCTACTGTCTTTTTACAGCATTGCTATAAGGCTGGCGAGTGAGGTGCTGTGTCAGTTATTAACTTGTGGTGCTGTGAAGCTGGGTCTCTGTAAAAGGGTCCAGGTTTGCCTACATCCTCGCCCCCCTGGTCCTGACCTGTGTAAGACACCCCCTCCTCTGGATTCATCACCAGTGCCCGGGGCCTGGCTAGCCCAGCCCCAGACTGGCCCAGCCAGCGCTCCCCGACAGGGGCTAACGTTTCAGGCCTCGAGTCAAGCTCCTTCTGGAGGTGATTAGCCTCAAACCCATGACAGATTCTTTCCAAGATATCTGACGCTGCGTGTTTATTTTATCCGGGCTCTTTGTGTGGATGTGCTGGACATGAGTAACCCACTTGAAATGGGTATCAGTTTACATACCCAGACACGGAGACAGAGAGGGAGAGAATAGTGCAGAGCCACAACAAATTTTCTTCTAAAAGTTTAAAAGAGAATATAAATATACCTTTTCCTTATTATTTGCATCTTTTGCATGTGTCTGGGGTGCTGCAGATGTTGACAGTGTGGTGTGCCTCTAAGGAATTCTCCTAATTTCTACTCTTAATTACCACTCAACCCCTCCAGATGCACGCACAGATACACACACACACACACATACATATCCATACATATACACACAGAGTTCTAATCATCCTCTTCCATCCAAACTGAGATCCAACCCCACCAAACATCCGTCCTCGTGTCTCAGGGACACAATGATATATATTTTTGTTTCAGCCTGGTTCCCCTACCTCCTGAGCATTTAACTTGATTTCACACTTGATGTCATCAACAAAGTCAAACTGAAACACAATCATTTTGTTTATCATTGATCAGTCAAAATAGCTTAGGCTGTTCCCCACCATTCATATGCATCCAATTTCAGCCCCGTAATCTCTAAGCTTCTATTTATCTCGTGCAGTGGAGCCTCTCTCCTCATACTACATGACTGAGGCGCATTGGCACACTTCAGAAACGAGCTGAGCCAATGTGCACTCATTCACAGAGTCAGACATCTAACTAAAACCACCGAGTTGCTAAAATGTCACACATTTCACTTAGCAAATGCCTAAAAAAAAAAGGATTATAAAATACTTTTCTATGTTTCTTTTTCATTTTTTTCCTACATTTTCCAACATTAGCCATCTGCACAAAACAGAAAACGTATGCACTTTAGCCGTCTTATTAATTTAAATTCATGTTACTTACAGAAGGTCCCTTACAAGTCTCCAGTAATCGAGAAACACATTAATCTGTCAAGTTAGAAGTCCTTTCAGGAGCAGTGCCTGAAAATGTGGGAACTAAACATTTACATTTTTAATTTCTAATGTGTTTGGATAATATGCAATTTGAACTGGTTCTCTTCAAGTATCGTCACAAACATTTTCCTGTCAGTGTTCCAGTGTTTTTACAAAGTTAACAAATGGATCTTAGAATGCTTTTAGATCAAAAGATGATTAGCGTGTATGAATTGCTCCATCCTACTGTGGTCTTTATTTTCATGTTTTAGCAGACCAAAACCAGCCAATATGTTTGCAAGAGACAACTTCATTTTACAGACCTTATTGTGATTCAGATTAACTTCAGTGACATGTTTGTAGAATCATTTAGAGTCAAGTCGCCTAATGCATGAAACCAAGTTTTAGGGGTTGGAAAAGCTTTACATCTCTGGTGGATAGATGTTCTAATCCACAGATGTGCACTGTTATTCCATCTCACACTTTTACATTTAGATTTGTTTTGTGACACAGCATGTGTAGAAAAGATGAAGATTCAGGTTTTCGACCTAAAACGGCTTTAAACATGCATTTTTTTTTCTCATTGCCAAAAGGAGAGGGACTCTTCTGGCTGCTCCAGAATCTATAAAGAATCGATAAAAGATTTCTAAAAAATCTACTACTTACTTGATTCATGACCTCAGTGAAGGGTTTCCTAATGAGTATATAGTCTCAAATGCTAGTTTGAGTCTTACTGAGCACAACTTGACGTCCATTTTTATAAAAGGAATATAATGCAACGTATTCTTCAGTGTGGGCCTCCCGCTTAATTGATAAATCACTACAGTGTCTTTAGTTGGCTTCAAAAAACCAAGATTGCCAAGTCATCCACAAACTATGGGCATCTTTTATGTATGGTTTATGCCTGAAGGACAAATCAAGAATCCTCTGACTTTAAAATATGTCTGTTATAAAGTGACTTGGTTGTTAAACTTGCTATATTTGTGCACGTGCACAGTTTTACTCTTGACACAACTGTCCTTTAAGGTCACTATCATTTGTTTAGGAGTTTTTTGTTTTTTTTCTACTTGTTATTGGTACTGGTACTGACTCTTTGCAGGACTCAGTGTTTTTTGTTCCTTTAGTGAGGTTCGAGGAGAGGAGACTACTTAGTGACAACATCATCTCTCCTTCATCTCTGCTTTGCTGCAGGCCAAAACCTGAATGCTACTCCTCCTCCCCGGCGCTCTGATATTGACGAGATCCCCTAATGTGGTTAAAAGCCCCCCTTAACAGGCATGACTTTTACAGGCCCCCCTCATGATGTCCTGGAGGAGTACTCAAGGGGGATTGAGGAGGTTGAAGGAGGTCAGGAGGAAGCTCTAGTAGGGGGTTCTGAGGGGGAAATGGAGAGAAGAAATCTCTCCATGCTGCTCAAGTACATCAAACTAAATTATTTTTTTTTCGTGGTTCTTATCTTGCATCACTGTGTACAGATTTCTGTGCATGTGTTTACCTACCCTTTGTAATCACTGTATTTACTCTACGCGAGCAGGCTGGTGTTTGAAAACTGATATCTGGACTTCTCATGCACCATCTCTCCCTCTTTCTCTCTCAACTTCGGGAAGTGCAAGTAGCCATATCCTGCCCTTTGCTGCCCCAGGGGAGGCATCTATCACTTGACGTTTTTAGCGTGGCTTCTCAATTAACCCATGAAAACTGTAAAGCTCTTTTCTTCTTTTTACAGCTCAGCAAAAGCAAGTGAATGGCTTAAATAAATGCGTCATTAGTTCCAGCACTGGCCTGTCAAAATAAATTATCAGTTTACACCCATCTAAGGCAGCATTACTGTCAGTACAACCTAAATGTTTATTTTGAATTACGACCTTATTATGGGATTTCAGCATAACCCGTAAATCACCGGCCTCTTGGATTTTTCACTTTCACAAACTTTTGAAACATTGCTTGGATTCAATTTTGCAAAAAAAAAAAACAAGTCACTGCCATTGTTGGAACAAAATGAGGCCTTTCCTGTTGCAACTTTCAGCAGTGCTACATGAATTATTACACCACCTTCTGCCCTAACATGACTTTGACCACTAATCTGTCCCGTTGAGGGAAAGCTGGCACGCTGTAATGGCAGTAAAACGTGTCAAACTTTGCCACAGAACAGGCCCTGCAGTTGTTTATTTGTTCAGCTTGAACACTTGTAAGCATCTGTTAACACAAGCCTTGTCCTTTCATTTAGACTCATGCTATCTTCTCCACAGCACACGGTGATGAGGCAGTTATTTCTTTATTGCCACTGTTGTCAAAAATGTTACCTAACCAACAAACTGAAAAAAGAACAGCCTGTGACCCTTTATTTCATTTCTTCTGTTGAGTGCAGCTGGTGGGGCTGAGACGGGCCATCAGCAGGCAGAGAGGACAGAGCAAGTTAAACAAGATCAAACTCAGCAGTGGCTCCATACCCAGGCCACTCATGGGCATTCAGACAGGTGAGCTATTTAATGTAGATCATAAGGTGATGAAGGTGGTGTTTATGCATCTATCTGTATCGATTCACCTTAAGACCTGCGCTGTATCATTCTAAAATAAAATATTCCAGTGCACTGAGAATGACATATTAACTTAATTGATTAACTTATTAAATAATTTCCCCCAGGGATCAATAAAGTATTCTGATTCTGATTCTGCTGAATCAGGGAGATGACAGAAATAAGTCAGTGTGTAGGCCTGTGCTATCCCTGCCCTATTAAAAAAAACCCAGACATAATCCATATAATTTGTTTCTTTTTTTAAAATTTAATATGAGTTTTTTGCTTGGAAATGGAGCCTGCAATAGAGAGTTAATCACTGAATTGGTGTGAAGCATGCAGAACACTAATCATCTAAGCATTTTGTGTTTTGTCCTCAGTGATCATTTCTTACCGGACATAAACTCATCCATTCTGAACGGAGGCAGAGTGCAGCTCGTAGTGAGTATCGGTCCCCCCAGCCATGCTGTTTCCCCCCCTTGATTTGAATCTTTTTTGTGGCGCAGTTGCATGCATGTAAAGCTATGTAGTATTTACATTTACCAGTCAGAGTCACATCCCACACCGTAGGTCCTCTTCCTTGGAGTCTGTCTCATCAACTTTGATTTAAAGGAGGAAGGGGCGGGGGGAGTCTGAGGTTTAGCTCTGTAGTGACACTTTCAATTGGATCGAGTGGCCGCGATTTCTTAATTTCACTTGTTGAAATCCCAGTGTCACATTGGAGCAGTTTGTTTAGACCTGAGAACGATGCTGATGGTTGTGAAGTCTTTGAAGTCACAAACCACAGGTCTCCTCGTGCCATTATGGAGCAGTGTGACTTATGTTTACTGGCAAGAGGGGCCGCCCCTTTCCTCCAGTTTCTTAGATATATCCTCTGACTGCAGAGCTGCTGGGTTGTTGATTGTTGATTTTCAGAATGTTCGACTACTTGCGTGAGATGTTTCATTTTGGGCCTCATTTGTGTGTGTGTGTGTGTGTGTGTGTGTGTGTGTGTGTGTGTGTGTGTGTGTGTGTGTGTGTGTGGTGCATGCAGGCTAACCCAGCATATGCAGATTGTCTAAATCACACCAGTGGACTGTGGACGAACAGCAATTTGGTTGGCCAGGGTTGCAAAGTGAACCGTTATACCCGTAGAACCTCCTCCAGTCATGCAAGTGAGTCTTGTAAACTGCTTTTCTCCACAACATCACAGTGATACTGGGAATAATGAACTGGTCTTTCAGCAGAGTGTAAAAAATATCTGTATGTATGTGAAGTAAAAAACCCAACTCTCCTTACAGAAGTGTTTCCCTTAGTTTTTTTTTTAACACATATAATTTTTAACACATATAATTTATAGCTAATTTAGAGATGTATATATATATTTAAAACTCATTATGTATGCAAAATGTATTTTTATGCAAATGTGTTAATTATTACAATTCTAGAAAGTTGCCCTTAACTTGAAACCAAGTTCTGGCTTAAAAATAACAATTAAGAAAAGGACCAATAAACATATGAGCTCACTGTCACATATATCTCTATATTCTCCTGTTAGCAGTCACAGAGAGAAAAGCACAGGCTCAAATTCAAACTCTTCAAAATCTTTTGGCAGGGGTGCACATAACTGTGTGTTTATTACATGTGATCTCTTTAGGTTTGCATAGTTGCACCTATGACTACTGGGCCACACAGATCTGAGTGCGCAGAGCCAGGGATAAAGACCGCTGCTTATTCAGCCTAGACCGAGTCCGCTGGTCGTCTGCTGCGGGAGGGGAGGGGAGCCACAAGGTCGGGCTGGGGACAGAGTGTCGTGAAATTTTCCTCTGACAGGAAACAGGCAGCGAGGGAGAGAAAAAAAATCAGTCCTTTCAGTGAAGAATGACTGGCCCTTCTGTCAGGAGCAGTGGAGCTCAGGAGTTTGAGTGACAAAGATGCTACTGACAGGCTGACAAGCAGATGACCACATTAAACAAGCCCAGGAATCTGAGTGAAGGAGAGCCCTGTCCATGTTAACGAAGCCAAATTGGATTCCGATGATGATTTCAAAATGATATCCACGAGGTGCAGCAGCAGGAACGAGCATTTCCCTGTTAGGCAGGCAGACTCTACGGGGAGTGTGGCCGGGAGAAAGAAAGCCTCTTTGTCCGCACTGATCAAAACATCCATTATCAAAATTGTGAAGGACAAATTGAAATATGGATGTATGTGTAAGGAAAGAATATTTCTTGAAAAGCCAATTAGATATTTTATAAACTTGGAAAGGGTATCTAATGGTCCCAGTGGTCATCAAAAAGTCATGGCTTGGAAATTCCTTAGGGAGTAAAATCAGGGAATGCAGCTTCTTTGATGTAAATCTTCATACTGAGCCTACGTGATCCTGCAAAAAAGTGTGACTAACAATCGCCTTCGCCTGTAAAGGGGCATACATCATCAAGGTGGGGGTTTAAAGTTAGAGGGTTCACTTAGTTTGGTATAGCAGTAAAGACTACATAAATAGTCTATAACCTGTTGCAATGCGATAATCACCTCTTGCCGGGACAGTACCATAAAATGCATTTCTCGGCTCACACAATATTTTCATTACGTGTGCAGAGGAAACTACTTAAGTTAAGCTCCTCTTGCAACCCTAATAGGAGTAAGATGACTGAAAACAATTTGTTTGGTCACAGTGGTTTGTTAAAATGAGCAGTTTAAACAAAAATAAAACTCTGTACTGTTAATAACAGAATGCACAACTAGCAGTGCTATTAGGAAAACATGCAGCAAAAGTTCAGTGTTCTGCTTCTGATTTCAAACGCATTACTGCACAAAGTTCCTTAATATACTGAGCCACCAAAGCTGACCTGGAAATAAACACCAAAACACTGTGTATTAAGAGAGACCACGAGGAAAGGAAAATCGCAGTGTTAGCCCAACAGACTTGAACAAAATCAAAACTTAGAGATGTGTGATTATGTGTGACTTGTGAGCGGATGGTTATTCTATACAGTTTGCCAGCTGTGCGGATATTTGGGGCTAGCATAGAACGTGCGATGCATCCCAGCCCTCCCACCTAAAGAGCGCTTCATGCTGTTGGGCTCCCTGTGTGAGGCAGCCGTGCTGACTGCGGGTTTGCGCTCTACACGTGGAATGCATCATACCCTGTAGAAGCGCTGCCTTTGTTCTGTATGTTTGAAAAGCTTTGTACTGATCCCCAGGTGAAAGTGGAACGGCCTGTGATACAGCACACACACTGCTCCCGAGAGGCACCGAACAACCCGCCTGCTCACACTTAAGTCTTTAGTGTGAGATTTAATGCAGCACCATCTCGAGTATTTTGAGTCACACAAAATTGACGCTCAATTTTCAAAACATGTATATTAAGTACATATTACAAATCCTCATATTTTAACCTACTTAACACTGCATCATTAGTTAAAGCTTTTATATTAACTTTTATGCCATGCATTTTTAAGTACTTAACAATTTCTATAATGTGACCCTGGCAAACTAACATGACGTTGTGTGTTGCAAAGATAGCCTTCCCTCTAGAAAACTATGTTGTGAAATTAATAATAACCCATGTTAATAAATTCTATAAAATATGTGAGCAGACACAGAAGTACAAAATGAGTTCTCGGTGTCAACTGTTGTTTAAAAACACATATAGTATGAGTCAGCAAAGTAAATTCACTCTGCTTGTTTTGAATGTTAAATACTGATGCCGTCTTCTTCCATTTTGTCTCCAGGAAAAGAAGTCCCATCTCCCGCGCGAGTCACGTCTGCCCCGTCAAAAAAGGAGCGTATCTCCTTCCGTGACAACCCGGTTCAGCTGAGCGGTGGCTGGGGAGGAGGCAAGAAAAGGGACAGAGTGCGCAAGTAAAAACACAAAGCCTCCTTCCAGAGGTCACCACTTTTCCTGCCCTGCTCTGCAGCCTCTAATAGATGCAGTTGCAGCTTTCTTATATGTACTTCGATGCATTTCGCGTCAAAAGATTATTAAAATATGCGTTGGAAGAACTCACGTGGATACTTTAGAAAATTTTTAGCTATTAAAATTCGATGTGATTTTCCTTTGCCGGTCAGCTTGATTTTTAATGCTGTTTTATTGCCTGCACTAAGATGGAAAAGCAGATGAAAACTCAAGACTCCCTTTTCTGTAAATTAATTAAGGCCAACAGGACTCAGACCAGCCCAAATATCTGCAGGCGGTTCTATTATGTTCATTCAAGTATCAAATGCTGTGTTCTCAAGTATCATTGCCCAAACCTCACTGCATCCAACTAGCACCAAAACACATGGAACAAAGTCACAAATGTTGAGTGGATGACATGCTTCATATGCAAATGATGGCAGGAAATAAGAACCAGGACTTTTAATGCCTGTTTCTTAGGATGCTGTCATTTTGCCTCCATGCAGATTTTAAATACAGATTGTAGCTATGAGATCAGTCTTACCCTTTTCCAATTTTCTGTTGCTTTCTCAGAGCAGACTTTATGAAAGTGCAGCATTTTAGTTTGACTGCCCTGTATTTGCGTTTAACGCTTGCTAACCAAAAGTGCACGTGAAATGACTGCATTTATGTTCTCAGCACAAACGTTGGTGTTAGATTTGCAACACTGTTTTCTTTATCTTCTGCTGTGGATCGTAATGGCCTTGTCTGTGTATTTGAATTTGGAGAGCCAAGGCGTCCGTCCACAAACACAAGCCCTACTGAAGGCAGTGAACATCAGGCTTGAAGGTTCTTTGCTGAAAATGATAAGTTAATGAATGTCAAAACAAATAGTCAGAGTTGCAGAGTGGCTCCCTGGAAGGAAATGCATGTCGGCCTGTTTATTTTCCTTCTGTCTTTCACTTAAGCATGGCTTGAGGCTGTGTTTTGACTGTACACGATCTGATGGGGATTTTTGTCTTGGAGAGTGGCGCATGCCAGAGATGTGGTGGTCCTGCCCACTTGGGGGCTGTTGTGAAACTGGAGAGCACTGTTCTCCTGCAGCGGGGAGACTGATTCTTCTAGTTGCTTTTTTGTAGACTGTGATCATACCAGTACTGCATAAGTTAAATCTGATGCTTTGCTTTACAGACAGGTGTGCGTGGCCTATCTGTGCCTATGTCTTGTCACTAGTATTACTTGACACAAGTTCAGATTTGCCATTAGAGCTGTTTTCTGCAGCTTCCTATTCTGAAGGGATGTTGTTAAGCTGTAATCTACCACTTTTCATTTCATTTGTTTACGTTTGGATTATGGGTAAATTATATGTAACCTAAGAGATCCAAAACCCATTGCCTTGTAAAATGAGAGCTCCACTGCACATTTAGATAAGACCAAGAATGTCCCTCTCAGCCTCGTCTGCCATGTCAATGGGACTCTGCATCCAGATCTCTCCAAGTGCTCTCTTTAAATGCATTGAAGTCCATAAAACCACATTTCCATGTTTTCACTACAATTTGCAAATTTTGCACATTTTTGCTGAACATTTTTGAAGTACGCTGTGGAGTTATAACCAATTCCTGGCAGCTTTTAGGTTCCTATGCATTTCTGAATGTTTGAAAATGAATTAACAGACACGTGAAATGTTAACTTTGGCCAGTGGTTTCAATTTAAAGAAAGCAGTGGCTATCTGGAAAGATTTCTGAAGAACACTGGTGTACTTGCAGAATAATTCACTGTGATGTTAAAATAGTTAAAACATGAGAAACACACAGGCCTTTAAATGTGTAGGAGGTTTTTGGTGGTCCAACTAATGCAAATAAAGAAAGCTGTGGTGAGGTAATGCAGGATAAGGGTGTGGCGTGACCTTGACATCAAATTTGTGTGTTGCAAGAAAATAAAATATATTCTGAAGTGATTACATTTTTTTAGTCAATATTAAATCTTAAAGAGTTTGAATTGTATGTACATTCTTTAAAAGGGACCTTAATTTTGCAGAGATATATTGCGCTACTTAAAAATGCTTTAGAATGTAAAACCCTTATAGATAAAAATGACAGAGGAGTTGGATTCTATTTATTTCTACTTTATTAGTAACTCTGTCAGAGTAAGAACATATTGTGCAAGCTCCCCTCTAAAAAAGAAAATGGAAATGTTTTCATTATCAAATGTATCATTAAATGAATGTTTAGACACACTTTTTTATGTCTGTTTTTTTATGATGACTCGAAATATAAGATGTGTTTTATGAAGAAGTAAATAAGAAACACAATTTTTGTATTGTAATAATAATTGATGTGATATGATTTTGTTTGTTAAATTTGGTTTGATAATGCCTAAACTGCCTTTTCCTTTGCTGCTGGTTTCAGCAGTTTACTACAATAATAATGGTTTATGTGGTGTTTATAAGTACTTGATGTCTTTTAGCATCTACCATGACACAGAGGTCATAGAGACTGTTTTGCTGTTCACTGATTATTTTTTTTGTTAAGCCTAAACCTTTTAGATATGTTTCAAGTATTAGGAAAAATATATTAATTTATTAATGTATTAATTGATTAATCATATGCGAAATTTATAGTCTACAAAAAAAATCTTCACAATGACAAGACGAAGAAGAACGAATTTCCCATTTATAATTTCCCTGATATATAAAAAAGCATACACTATTATAAACAATGTATTTAACATTTCCTTTACCCTTGTACTGTACCATAGCATTCGATTACTTAACTGGACGGTTTGCAGTGGTTTCAGTCGTATAGGGGACCTGTGCAACATGTTAACATGAACTCAGAAGACTTCGTGAAATCACTGAGACTTGAAGCTTGTTAGTGCTCAGGAATGCCTGACTATGGAAAAGCAAATGGCAAACAAAATGAAAACAAACTTTCGTGACTCTGATGCACTGCTTTCACTTTCTGAAATTCAGCCAAATGTTCTGCAGACTCGAGTGGCATCAATAAGCTCACAGTTTGTGCTTTTGGGGAAAATAAACTTTGGTCTTTTTCTGTGTGTGTTTCATGCAGCCAAAGTTTGAAGACATTTCGTTAAATTGAATTATACCCAAGGGTAGCTTTGGGCATCATGATGTCATGTTTATGCCTTCTGAAGTGGCAGATTTTGGCCTGTTCAGTTTCAGCTTTTTTGTGTGTTTGATCATGTTCAGTCACATTAAGGCTCAAAAGGTTGAGAATTAGTTCAATTCAATCATATATTTTAGAATTGTCTTTTTTTAAAGTCAAGTTGTAGGTCTTTCAAGGTTGCTCACATGACATTGGCACCAGTACTTATAGAATTAACCTGACTGATCAACTCATGACCAGCTTCTCCACTTTTGCAGAACCATGCAGGAGCTATTGTGGCTGGAATTTCCAGCAGAAAGCCCACCAAATCACAGTGAACTTTTAACATTTTCTCCACAGCATGAGCCAGTGTGCAAGGTCATCGTAGGAAGGCTAAGACACCCCCTGCTACTTAGGAGCACACCTATTTATTTTTATTTTTTCTCCTGTGGCACCATGCAGCCCCAGGTAACTGCCACTGACCCTCGAGCGAACCAAAGCTATGCATGGTGTGCATCGCAGGTGGTGTAGCTCAGGGTGGAGATGTGGAGGAAGATGGGCTTTGGTTAGCGGTAATATAATTCTTACAATAAGAAAATACAGAAGAACAACTCTTCCTGTTCTTTTTTTTTTGGTGAAAAACTCGCAGCTGGGTCGTGTGTGTGTGTGTGTGTGTGTGTGTGTGTGTGTGTGTGTGTGTGTGTGTGTGTGTGTGTGTGTGTGTGAGGGCTTAATGAAACTAAACTTTCCCGGATGTTTCAATTAAGAAAAACAGGAATGATCAATATTCCAGTAATGGAACTTTTTAAGTTTATTGCCACAGTTCATAAAATCCTCTTTTCACCCAGCAGACAGCAGACAACAGTGGCATCCTACTCTAATTAGAGAGCATAGTTTTAGGCTTTTAGTCCAACTGAAAAGAATTTCTCGTCTTATGCTTTTAAAAAGTTTTCAGTTAGTTTTGCAAGCATCAAGCAGCAGCTTCATGCAGGTTTGCAGCCGTAATATTAGATTCTTATTACAAAGCAATGAAGTGCACAAGATCCTCCGCGCAGCTCGAAATGTAATTTAAAGTTTAGCTAAAAATAAAACTTACTCTAAAGCCACCAGATATGACATTTACATTATTATCGTGTTAGAAGAATAATAATAATAATAAAATCACTTCTTAAAATCCATATTTTGATCGCGTAAAAGAGAAAGTCTGGAATGTGCCACGGTGTTAATAAAGATCTGTTTTTGGGTGCAAATAAATGAAAAAAAGAAGAGAAATCTTGCATTGGGTTTTCAGAAGGATTTGAAATAAGCAGATTTTTAAAAATAAATAAATAAATAATAATAATAATAATGATAATAATAATAATAATAATAATAATAATAATAATAATAATAATTTACCCGACAAGGACGAACGCATTTTCCACCTTCCTGTTTTAATAATTAAATATGATTGATTATTTTACTTCGTCACATGACAGATTCGCAAATGTCAGATCTGCTTTATATCGTTTTTACTAGTTTGAAGTTTCAGAAATGATCTTTTCTTTAAAATGGTAATAAATCAATCCTCCGAACTTAAATGACTTACTGCAAAATATAACAAACTTATTTATATGTTCACGCCAATGAAATCTCCTCATTTTGAGAACATCTGACTGTTGACTTCCTTTTGCTGCCTACAGGTTAAAATATCCCTCCAAATAAATAAATCACGAGCAGAGTTCTTACAACATTTCCAAAGACACGAATTAAATCCCATTTTCAGCTGAAAGGTTTAGCTGTAGAAAAATTATTGCCTCATTTTGGACGTCTAAACATGCTGTAAATTAAAGTCACTTTTGATTGTTTCCTCGAATTCGTTGTGGGTCTCCAATCACTTTAAACTGCTGTTTGGTTTGGATTCAGGGCGTAGGAGGAGTGGGAGGAGGGCGCTTTTTCATATTCAGAGAGGGGGTGCTCTTTAAGGATCTCGTTCTCTTTGGGGCTATAAAGACGTTGTGCCTTCAAGACAGAGCAAATTATCTTCATCGGCGAATTATTGCTTTACAGTTCGTCTCTACTCGTCGGTGCGCGAAGCGATTAGTTTCTCTTTTTTCTTTTTTTTTTTTTAGTGACATTTGATTAGAGCGAGCGGTTTTCGGTGAAGATGATGGAATACATGGAGGATAAGTTTGCCTTGAAAAGCCAAGCGATGAAGGCCAGCGATTACTACATGGATCAAGTCATGGAGAGCCTGGACAGCGCGCAGTACTTCACCAAGTCTTCCCCAAAATGTGTGCAGGCCTTCGGGCTGCAGAGCGGCGAGCACCGCTCCTCTCCCTGCGGGGATCAAACCCGTGAGTACGCTCATTTTTGCAAAGTCAAAGTTATCCCGCAAATGTGTGCGCGAGTTAGACGAGTTAAGCGAGAGAGAGAGAGAGAGGGGGGGGGGGGAAGCTTACATTCCCCGAAGTCGATCTTTTCAATGACGTTTAGTTTTATTCTCCTACTTATTAATTACAATTTCTTTTGGATTTTTATTTTCATTTTTTAAATCGAATCTTTTTAACATTATCTGATATGTAAAATAATTTAATTTAATCTCCAATACAGGCTAGTAGGTTACATATTTTGGTGCAGTGACTAGCAAATTGAGACTGTTGTTGTTAACTTATCACTGATTTGTATTGTAGCCAGTTACAGTGTGCCAAAAACAGATGAAGACACCTTGCACTCTGACCTCGGGAGGCCCATGGACGGTTGTTGCACTCTGCGGGCGTCTCCGGTGACCACCGGCTCGGAGAAAACCGATTTGGATGACATGGGAGACAAGTGCGACAGTAACGTGTCCAGCAGCAAGAAGAGGAGACACCGGACGACCTTCACCAGCGCGCAGCTCGAGGAGTTGGAGAAAGTGTTTCAGAAGACACACTATCCAGATGTTTATGTGAGGGAACAGCTGGCAATGAGGACAGAATTAACAGAGGCTAGAGTGCAGGTAGAGTTTACTGACCGACTCGTTTTTGCTTAAACATAATGAGAACAGGAGCCTTTAAGCGCTGAAAGGCGTAGCCTAGTACGGCAGCGGGCGTTAATATCCAAATCCATACAGCCTATGTATACGTGAATATATAAGCATAAAGGTTTTGATAGTTGAAATACATTTTCATGTGTGTTTCTTTTAATTTTTTGTTTGAATGTTGCAACTTTTTTATTTTCTGTTGTCCCGTTTTTTTTTTGTTGTTTTTTTTTTGTAAAAAATAGATTGGCTACTTTTCTCTCTTTCTGAGCCTTTGGGAAAAATAATATTAATAAATGTAAACATATTTTATATTTCTGTCTTTTTTCTTTTTACTTAAAAGGTGTGGTTTCAAAACAGAAGGGCAAAGTGGAGGAAAAGAGAGCGCTACGGGCAAATCCAGCAAGCCAAAAGTCACTTTGCAGCCGCCTACGATTTATCCGTGCTACCGAGGACAGACAGCTACACACAGGCAAGTATTGAGAATTTTATTTTATTTTATTCATTTTAAGCATTCATGGACTTTATTCTCAGCGTCAAAAGAAAATGAGTTTCTTTGTCAGCTGCATGGGCTGGAGGCAGTACTGTGCTTTATAAAGAATACGAACTCTTTACTCTAACTCCTTTCTAAACATCTCAGTTATGTAGGTCACTTCAAACTTAAATTAGTGCTTCGGCCACGATTGCTGATAAATCACTAATTATGAAACCCATCTTCAGATAGGAGCCTGAACACTGATTAGAGTCGCTGTGAGGCGTCATGTCTGAATGAATGAGCTTATATCAGATTGCATGTTGGCTGAGCATTTGTCTTGCTGTTTGGACAAAGGTCAGTTACAAGATGAGAGGAGGTGAGAAGAGAAGAGATGCAGAATGTCAGTGTTTTTTGTGTCTTTTTCTCCTTTTGTTAGGTGTTACATTAAAAACGGACACCAGGCCTTCAAGTGTTGTGGAGACTTTTAGGTTTTCAGAGATGTAAATATGCACACAGCAGCTCTGTAGAGAGATTCGCATTTACACTCTGAGTTTGAGAAAAACAAAAACAAAACAGCTGACGTGTTTGATTCCAAGAGGCAAAAATAATAAAATGTAGTAAAAGGCAGAGTCACAGCTCTGCTATACCCTGGCCGAACACCAGGTTAGAATTCTGTTGGACTGTCTCACATTTTTTCCTCACATATGTTTCTGATAGATTCTCCTGGATATGAGCCATGCCTGTTCATACAGCTGATCCCCATTACTATCAATAAACGGACAAACCTACTTGTAACCCTGTTGGCACTGGCTGTTTCGGTCTGCTGAAACACACTGGACACGAGTTGCATTGCTGAGGCTTTTAGAGAACTTTCTTTTTTTTCTGTCAGCGAGGTTTTCTGTTGTTGTTGATTTCTGTGCAAAAGTTGAAGTCATGCTTAACAATGATGCATGTGGTCAAAAGGGCACCAGTCGATTCTTATGCTAGTTTAACTTAAGGATGTTCATCTGACTCCCAAAACAACCTTAGTCAGTCAAAACGTATTTGGCATTTTGTCATTTGATTTTCAGAAAGCCATGCTTCAGCAAAATGAGCTCTACCAGTTTGGTTACTGTTGATGTGCAATTTGCAGAGTCTTTTGAAGAGGCAGACATATTTCAGTCACTCTTTTTTGACCGAGGAAATTTGCATGCTCCTTAGTTACATTGGCCTGTCCTCTCAGTTTATTGGAAATTTCGTACTGTGTCAGGATCAAATTGTTTGGATGTGATCAAGCAGTCAGTAGACTCTGAGCTTATAAGTTAGACAGTCATCCTTCTGTAAGGTGAAGTTTATTAAAAATCGGTCATGTAGTGTTTGCTGTAGCTTATCACATGAGTGTATCTCTTGTGTTATCCTACTACTCCCTGACTAAATTTTGGTCACATGACCTTTTAGAGTGAATTTAGGACATTTTAAACTACTCCGGAGTCACTACGACTGATAATCATACACATCACCATCAAACGTAATCATATCAGCAGTTCACTGAAAAATGTTCACTTAAAATTTCATGGAAAGATGCATTACAAACATAACCCTTTAAACAACAATTTTAAGTTTTCACGCTTTGTATAAAAATATTTTTGTCCACATTTACATTTATTGTATTATTAATATGCAACTATTTAAGATTCCTGTAAGTAGTTTTTACACGCTTTGGAGAATCAGGTCCGGATATTTTCTGAAGTTGACCTTTCAAGCATACAACATGTGGGATGCCCAAGCACTCACTGTGAATTTTTATTCTTACCTGGGCTCAGTTGGGCATCACTCAAACTTTGTATTATAGCGCTGTCAGTGTCAAAACTATGTAATATTCATTGCTATTCTCCCCTCTTTTTTTAGGTAATTGTTAGAAAACTTTAGCACTATAGTAAAAGTTGCAACTTTCCAGTTGCATGAGATAACATATATATAAATAACAGAGGACATTTTAAAAACAACAACAACAACAACATTTTTTAGTGAAAAATACTTCTGTAAACTAGATACTTGTTAACTACATACACCGTATTCTCTGTATTTTATGTTCCATATAGACAGTTCGAAAGGCAATAATTGTACCCAGGATACATCATAGTTTACTTTATAAGATCATGTTTGTAACCCTGTATTTACAATTCTCTTAAATTTTTTCAAATGGTATGTCACAGATAACAGGTCAGCGTACAGTGTCTTTACGAGCCCAGTTATTAATCCATATAAACTAATTTGTACTGTATGCTGGAATGAATTGAAGCCATTCCCTGTAGTATCTAACAGCCTCTTCACCCAACAGATCCCCAACAATCTGTGGCCGAGCCCAGCTCCTGGCAGCTCTGTGGTCTCCTCTTGCATGCTGCCCCGAGGTTCCCCTCCTTGTGTCACTTCTTACTCCCACTCCCCTCGTTCGGCCGCCACTGCTGCTGACCATGGCTACATGGGCTTCCCAAATCAGCAGAACCAATTTGGCCACGTGTCTCTCAATAACTTCTTCAGCGCAGACTCGCTTCTCACGCCGGCAAGTAACCCAGCTTTTGACACCAAACCTGAGTTTGAGAGGCGGTCATCCAGCATCGCCGTGCTGCGCATGAAGGCCAAGGAGCACACAGCCAACATCTCGTGGGCCATGTGATCAGGGTTCCCAGAAAGCCCGGATACTGTGTGGGAATTTATTATCTTTTTCAATTATCACTTTTTACACAAAAAAGTGAACTGTTCTGAAAAAAAAGCTCTGTCACTCACAGTGAAGCTCTAACAAGCCTTTCTTTGCTCGGTGGACTCGAGTTCACTCTCCTACTACTTATGGTTCTGTGCTTATTAAAAAAATAATACACTCAAGCTCGGACCATAAAATTGAACTAGGAATGAAAGTGTATGACAATCAGCTGTGTTTCTGGCTGAAGCCTGTTTGAACTAATTGAAAGTTGTCATCAAACGGAACCAATACATTCATATCAAGGTAATGGTCCCGGCAAATATTGTCACTCTGGTGAGAAGAGACATTTAATGAACCTTTGTGATCGGTGGAGATGAAAGCTGTGATGTGTATAAGCTTTGTCGTTGTTGTTTTTCTTTTCCTATCACCATTTCCTCTCGACAGAGACAATAACAAAAACCAAAGGCTACCGTGGGATTTAGTACCACTTTATGCACGCTTGGATCCAGAGAGAGGGGTCCAAAACCACTTCAGTATTTCCAAGCACTGTGAATAGCTTTCTTTTACCTTTCATATTTCTCCCTGTCTCAGGACTGAAGATGAGCAGAGCAGAGGAAAAACCTACTTGGCGTATTAACGTGTCTGTGTGCTTTGCAGCAAAGCTGTAATCTCTGTTTTCTGCCTTTGTTCTGTATCAAAAGAGGCAGGTGTTGTTTTTTTAAAATCATGTTTGTGCTATAAATTTATTTGATGGAATCATAATAAATGGATTTTACTTGATTCTGGTATGGCTGCATTTTTAAAAAAAAGATTACACTGAGATGTACGGCAGGTGTCGACAAACCATGGAAGAACCTTTACATCCAAGATCTTTTATTATTTCTTCTTTTGTGCAGCAGAGTTTTAATATAAGTTAAGAAATAATAAAAACATGAGAGTGTCAAACAGTTTTACTGGGTGATGGTTTCCATCATTATTAATATTAGTGCTGCAAATGTTTCTTTAGTCTGTATCTCACAGAACACCCACATCTATATTAATCTGTAGCTGACTATTTCTAGCAAATTCACTCTTTACTCCACTTTGAGAGATTGCTTAAGAAATGATTTAGACATTTTAAATAATTACATTTGGAAATTAAGTTGTTTTTAATTATGCTGTTCCATATTTGCACAACTGGTTTATTATGGGAAAAATAGATTAGACAATTAAAGTCATGCATACCTCAGTTCATCAAAGTCAAGTATTTGTTTGGAATACATGATTTTTAAAATGATTTGTTTAACTAAATACCTCTATTTGGATAAAAATCAACGTCTTCATTCATTTTTTGGCCGTAGGATATGACTGTGTTCTTTTACAAGGAATTTCTTTGTTTCACATGGAATCACGTTTATGCCGAAGAGCTGCAACAAATACCTATTTTCTCCGTTGAATATTTTTTGATGACTTGGTTGTTTTGTCTGTGAAATTTTGTGAAATATTGAATTATATTAATAAGTGCAGCATTTCATTTAACAAAGATAAAAAAAACCTACTGTGGTTGGTAGAAAGTAAAAAAAAAAGCTGGATAAATGGCACAACAAATTGTCAGCATTCTTTCACTTTACAAATTGATTGTAAAGTGAATCATTTTGGCATTAGCCGCTGCAGTTTAAGCAAGTTTTAAATATTATCTGAGAGATATAAAGATAATGAAAAATACCAAACAAGCTGTATGTAACAAACTGTATCCACTGTCTTTGAATACTTTTTATCTTACTTCTCTGGCCTGTTTGTGGCTCAGTTTCTACTGAACATGTAATTTTTAAAAAATGGTCACAAATGTTAGCGATTTGTCAAACAGATGGACACTAGAAAAGTCACTCAAAGAGAAGTTAACAGCGCTTGAGAAGGGACCTATTTTCAGCTGTGGAGTGACACAATGCTTTAGTATTCACGCAGTAGGACAAAGGGATTTGGTTCAAGATAAACTACAGTTTCTATGGTTATAGTAATGGAACAAGATATGAATAAGGGATATAGGAATTAGATATATGACTCTTATGTAAGAGTACTAGCATACATTAATTGTTGGATTTAAAGTGTGGTACTTACATGGGATTTGTTTACAACAAGAAAATATATCTGGAACCTTATCCAAAATCAGACCTTTCCTGTGGAGTCCAAGTCAGCTCATTAAATGCAGTTAATCTATTTATTCACCAACACCACAGTATGTAAAAAAAAATAAAAAAGTCTTGTAGTCTATCATGCTGTCATGTAATTAGGAGCATGTCATGTTCTTTCTCTGCTGTTTTTTTTACTGACATCATCGCTTTGTTTTGCTCTGAAATCCCAGCCAGTGGTGAATTGTGTTTTCAGGGAAACCCTGTCTATAGGAACAGCGGGCTTGATTCAATTAGGACCGTAACTTGTGTCAGATGCCTCGGTTTGGAAATAGGTTTGTTTTTTGAGGTGCTTCCTGCTTGCTGCCATTCTGAGAACCCCAAGTGCCTTATCTGCGCACATTATAACACACAAGCTTTGATGCAGAAGTGTTCATGGAACAAGCGCTGCATGCACTCCCAAAAGTTGCAGTGAGACTCTTCTTATAGTGAACAAATAATTTACGTATGTCTTCACTTTTTCACAACTGCGTGTATTGTGATAAGATATTTGTAATAAAACTGCAGTTTAATGTTGCACATACACTTTCAATTTTTGAGTGGATCATGGCTGTTGTCACCAATTCATATCTTCTATTAAGTACTTAATGTTTGATTGTTGTAATTCTTAATGATAATATTGTGTCAAATGTTCAAAAGTTAGTCATCCATCCATCCATCCATCCATCCATCCATCCATCCATCCATCCAGTGGGGGAAATTATTTGAACCTCTGCTTTATTTGTTAGTTTGCTCAGAGAATATGAATCAAAAATCAAGAAAAAGGACATTACATGAACGTTATAAATTGATTTGCAAGTCACTAAAATTACAAGGAGTCAGTAATAAGTCAGTCAATCAATTACAGATACTTGTGATCTCAACTCGTTATGCGTATAAAGCACATCTGTCACACAGTCTGTTTCTGTGATCCCATCCTCTCTACCTCCGAGGACAACAGATGTCAGGAACAAGTGTAGACCTGCACAATATAGCTACAAGACCATCACCAAGAAACTTGGTGAGAAAGTGACAGTTGTTGATATGATTATATGGAAATGGAAGGTCTAGAACTCCAAAAATCACACTCATGAGGTGAGGATGAGCATGAGATAGGTGGTGGATCCCCCAAAACTAGTTGAGAAAATCTTGCTAATGATCTAAAGGCTGGTGGAACCACAGTAACCAAGAACACCATTGGTAACACACTATGCCATATTGGATTGAAATCCTGCAGCGCTTGCAAGGTCTCCCTGCTTAAGAAGGCACAGATACAGGCCCATCTTAAGTTTGCCAGTGAACATTTAAAGAAGGCTTGAGAGAAAGTGCTGTGGTCTGATGAAACTGAAACCAAGCTTAATGGCATTCATTCGATCTGCTGTATTTGGAAAAAGTGAAACACTGAGTATAACCCAAAGAACACCGCCCCCATAGTCAAGTTCGGAAAATGTTAAATGGACCTATTCTTATATAGCGCTTCTCTACTCTACCCGAGCACTCAGAGCAGCTTCTGATACACGCCTCATCCACCCATTCAAGGTCTGTGACTCATGATGACTGGTGTAATTATGTAGTAACGACCTCGTACTTGTGAATCAAAAAATCCCCGTGTTGATTACATTGCCACTTGTGTGATCCCATCACCGACAATCTGTCTTTGCTTTGTGGTGCTTATCTGTAGACTATAACCATGAACTATGTATTTACAGATACATCTACTTTTTCTACTAGTATTTCTAGTGACGTTTCTTACTAAACTTTCTTCACTACAAATCATTGATTCTATTAGAAATTGCCCAAGGCAAAAGCTTTGTTCCAGTGGTGTTGTTAAGTGGTGAGATCTTGTAGCAAAGAGAATAGAAACTGCTGTCTATGAAAAGTAAAGTGAGCAGTGTGACATTCTCACCGTACAAATGGTTTAATGAGATTCCACTTGCCATAACCCTCGGTGATATACTGTACTCAAGGATTAATTAAAAATTGAAAATCTATCTTGTTCCAGTTTTTTAAATTATTATTATTTTAAACGCTAATTTAAAAACTTATAATTCCTTTCTAGTCTGCCTCTGATAAAAATGCCTGTAACCAGCACTCTGATCTGCTCTTTTATATATATTCATCTTCTTTTTCCCCCTCCAACCATCACTATGTCCATGCTGTCCTGGCCTCCACGCCATCTTTTATCTCTCTCCATGGTCATCACAATGTGCCTGGAGACTGATCATGCAGTCAGGTCCACACTGTGTTTGTGTTTTTGTGCGTAGGCGAGAGAGAGAGAGAGAGAGAAAGAGAGCTCCTGCAGTCTAGATCCATCAACAGCTCCAATGGGTTTGACCCTTCCAGGTTAACCGCAGCCATTAATATAAAAGCTTCCCTCCTCTGCCTCCCTTCTTCCCGCACAACCTTACGTGGGGGAGTACAAGCCCCAGTGTGTGCGCATGTGTGTGTGCATACATACGCACATGGCCATTGGTACGAAGAAAAAGAGGCAGATCAAACGCTGTGGTGGCAGGCGGCTGAAAAATGGCACTGGCGGTCACACATGTTCCTCTGCTGTGGAACATGTGTCTTGCCCACTGTTGTTTTTCTAATCACTCAGCAGTGATGTTTTACTTCTTCCTCTGCTCTGGAAGGATGGACCAGTTCACCTTTGCCGTCTTCCTCGCTACATGTAATATAAGACTACATTTCTTTAGAGGTCATTTAATAAAAGATTTTCATGTCAGACTGACAAAGACACATTTCATAAATTATGAACTTATGTTAGCTGGTAGACATTTAGCTTTCTTTGATTTGCACAATAAAACATATAACAGTTTAAAACAAACGATACACTGAAACAGCACCAGGCCTTCCTTGCACATTCAGTGCAGTTTGAATTTTAATATTTAGCCATGTGACTCATGATTTGGCTACTTAGCACAGCAGTAAGTGCAACAAAAGAAAGAGAGCATTTGAAGAACATTACGATTTGTTCCACTGCAGCCTGTAGCATTCAAATGCGGTTTCCTGCTTTTAGTTACTTATGAACATATGTTGTTCGTAATTTGCAGTATTAATTCAAAATTTTGTATTTCTGCAAAATATCTATCAAAACCAGTCAAATATCCAATGCCATTAAGACTTCCGGCACATGCAAACAAACTATGTACACTTCGTGAAGTACTGCTCGCTTTTAAAGCCATCTAGTGGTCATGTTTAATGCAAGCAGAGTGTATTACTCAAACAATGCAACTAAAATGACTTGAATTTACCTTGGTAAAATCTTTTTGTGTAAATCACTAAAATCCATTTAACCCCAGTACGTACACTGGGTGATGTTCACCCATATGAAAGTGAGGGTGATTGTGTTTCAAAAGCCATGTTGGTGTCTAGGCTTAACAGTCAGGTAATACTCATTTTCATATTATGTTTATTCGGGGCAAGCTGTTTTAACACCTGAGGCTCTTTTTACGTGTTTTTTTGTGTCAATAATAGGGAACAAGGTGGGCCTTTTTCTTTTTTGTGTTCCTTTGCTACACCTTCCTTTATAAAACCTCTTGTGAGTTTAAAAGCAAGCATACTTCTTTTGCCTAAGCTGAGCTCAGAATGCTTCATTCTTCAGTTCATGGAGCTGA